GCTTATTTTACATTGCTTGTGAATCTGTTTTTTTCTTTCTTGATTTGGAATCTCATCTTCCTTTCCTCCTTATCTATAGTCAAATTCTTTTTTGTTTAAACACAATGTCTTTACTTATTTAATTTGATTGAACCCAGGGCCTCACATGTGCTAGGCGAGAGCTCTACCGCTGAGCCACAACCCCAACCCCAGCCACAACCCCAGCCCCAGTAGTGAAATTCTTTTAATTTTTTTTATTTGAAAATTATCTATACTTCTGGAAGAGGCAACCCAGTATTAGGGAAGGAAAGAAAAATAGTTCCTGAAACTTTGTTTTCATTACTTAGCAAGTTTTACAATTAACGACTGAAGTTTCTCTTATGACTTCTCCCAAAGACTCTTCTTATTTATTTTCCCCAACAGTCACATGTGACCTTGTTAAAAGCTTCATGTAACTGCCAAATAAATTACATTTACTGGTTTACTTCTTTCTAGTATTTTATTGACATTTCCAGATAAGTTTAATAGGATGGAGAGAAACAGTGTTCTCTTTATAGACTCAGTGGGCGATTCGACCTCAGCAGGTTAACCTTATCCTGATGTTAAAGGAAGCTATCAGTTTCTCCATTATCAACAAGAAATCCTCTGGTCTGTAATTTTATAAATCTTAATTTTATTGTTTTGTCCTTCCTAAAGAAACAGTTCATATTAGCAAAATTGTAATATTTAGAAACAGTGCTGGTTTTCAGTTACATTGCATATCCTCATCTTTAGCTCAGCCATTTCACACTTTATTTCCTTCAACTCTCAGTTGAATACCATCTGGCCATGGTGATTTATTGCTGTAGAATTTCTCAAGTTGCTCTGTTATTTCCTCCTAGGAGATTTGCTCTCTGCTTTTGCCCCACTGGTTTTTCTCAGAAAGTGCCCTTGGACTAGTCGTTTCCCCCACTATCCTGTACAGCAAAGGTCAATGCAAAACAAAACTGAATTAACTTCCATGCTACTTCTTATCTTTTTACTTGCTGTCTCATTTTCTGATGAGAAGCTCAGCAGTTAGTCCAACCATTCACATTGCCTGTTTGTTTTCATATTACTTTTTGTCTTTGTATTTCTGAGATTCTTCCTTTTCTGGCTACATTTTTGGTATTGTGTTTTTTAAAATGTCAGATTGTAAGATGTTCTGGATACTTTAAACTTATTCATAAATGTATCTACCAAATTGTTTCCAGTTTTTAATTTTAACAGGATCCACAAGTTTCTCTTTTGACCTTTCAAATGTCACAGCATGTATATTTCTCCTATCTAGGTCTTTATCTGTCTTCCAAGCAGTTCAAATACTTTTTAAACTCTTCCTGCCTGCTTGAAGGACTGCTAAACAGACTTTCCTTCTTATTTTTAACGTATACTTTTAAAATTCTCACCCTTTTGGTTAACATTAAGAGATGCCCATACTAATTAGAACTATGAGCTTTAACTGTGCAGCAATCCCAATTGCTGAATTCCACTCCTACGCATACTCACCTGTAGTAATTCCTATATGTTAATCTGATTCCTTTTTTATCACTGCCCAATAAGCCAAGATAAGGCATGTTAATTATTGCTTCTACACATTGTGCTCTTCTGCCATTCATTTGTATGATAATGGACATAATTAAAATCATTTATTGTAATAGCCTCCTAGGGAAAAAATGCTGAACAGTAAAGGTTAAAAGCAATTTGTTATTCTTTCATATTCTATAGTTAACATAACATTTTTTACACCTGAACTTTGTTCAAATAATTATTTTTTACAAAAAGATTACTTAATATGCTTTCATGTATAGTTAATTGTGATTTAAATATATTCTATCTTTGTTCAGAGTAATTTAGCACAGAGTTTTTAAACTTATGACTCAAGAATTGAAACATTAAAAGTTGAGAGTTTTAACAGTTTCCAAAATGTATTGTGAGTTACCTGCATTTTCAATTTAAAAACAACACCAGTGATTAAATATCAAATTCTGTTTATGTAGTTTTAAATAAAAATAACACTGGTCACATAGCCGTCCATCTCTTTTAATAGAGTTACCATTTGCTTAGTTGTAATGGGAAGCAGGAGAAAGAAATGCTGTTAGGGTTCATTTTACCATATATATGGGCATCTATATATACATTATTTCCTTTACCAGTTAGGGCAAGCTGTTCTAAAAGTAAGTTAGGCCTACAACTCGTCCAGTGAGGAGGTCCATGGAACAGGGTAAAGGAGAGTGTGGCTGCAGAGTCGCTAATCAAGACCTCTGGAGATCAAGCAGGAGCAGGTCTGATTTTATTGCACAGTTACCATGTATATATACTCAGGCAGTAGCTAAGCAGATTACAGGCAGCCACCAATGCAATTTCTGCTAATTGTCCTTATAGTGACCAGTCGAGGAGTGGGTCGTGGAGCAAGCACAGGGACTGCAGCATATGGCCTCATGCCCAGGGCTGTGCCTACAGGGTAAGCGGCCTGCTGCTCACACGCCTAGCATGAGAAGAGTGGCCTGCCACTCAGAAGCTCTTAATGTATGCCAACTATGCAGTACTCCATGCACTTATCCCCACGTATTCCTTAAATTTTTGAATGGATTAAGATTCTATTTATCCAGTACATATATATATATATATATATATATATATATATATATATATATCCTTTATCTCCATACATAAAAAGTGTATACATACATATATATTTAAAAATCTACTACATCATAATTTAAAAACCTGCCTTTCTGCCTTTATCACAACCAGTAGTTCTAATTCTTCTCCAAATTAAAAACATATAAAATATAATAGTCACAAACAGGAGAGAATTCTATTATAGTTGTATGGTATATGACTGTGTCACGCAGATTATACTAAAATTACTTTTTTGATAACATGTGACTGTTTCCTGAAATCTCCTCACAAAAACTAAGTCAGCAAGTGTTTTTCTGATTCTCTATGTAGCAGTCAGATTATTTAATGAGTATACCTCCTAAGCAGATATTTAGGTTTAGCACCTTAATACAAACATTCCTTATTTGTCATGATTGTAAAATTTAATGTCTTGCATTAGCTAAAAGCACAAATGCATGTATTAAACTGCTTGGAGCAAGGAGGTGCTATAAAATTTATAGTGCTTATCCTTTCATAAATTCTCTTATAAATTGGTACTGTTGTATTGATTGCTGTCTTTAACATATATAGGTAAATTTCTATAACCATGCATAAGTCCTACTCAAGTAAACTTACATAAGAACCAGATGTGGTATTGAATCTCACAGTGTAAGGTCTAAAGTAGGCATGAATTATGTTCTCCATAGTTTTGCTTACATCTTTTTCTAGTCAGTTATTCTTGCACTGGAGAAGTCATAGGAGAGTTTTGTTTTGTTTTTTTTTTTAATCTTTATTCCACATTTACTCAAGCAGAATGTAATTTAAGTTCTGGGTATATGAATGAAATTTTTTTACTACTATTTGTAATTCTGATATTTTTTTATCCTTTATTCTATAATCTCAGTGACGTTTGAAATGGGAATGGAAGAAAAGGAACAATTTGATGCCCATGCTCACATAACTATCTTGCCCAAATGTATGATTAAGGATTTTAAAATAGAAAATTCCCAGATCATAGTACAGGGCAAGGTTGCCCACTCTTACCTTCTATTTGGCATAGAACTAGACATCTAGTCAGAGCAATGTGGCAAAAAATAAACAAAAAGGCATCCAGATAATAAATGAAGAAGCACAATTATTCCTACTTGCTAATAACATGATCAAATATGTAGAAAATTCTTCAGACTTTACAAAAAACATTTCAATATTTTCCAAAATGACTTATAGATTTAGTGCAATCCTTATTGAATTCTATTGTCATTCTTTATAAAAATAGAAAAAAAATCCCAATATTCAACTGCACCCACAAGGTATCACCAATGTTAATCTTGAGCAGAATAAAGCTGGAGCCATTATACTTACAGATTTTCTAACATGTTATAGAGCTAGATTTTTTAAAAAAGAAAATAGTAAATATATGCACATGTGACCAACTTATCTCACAACAGTATGTCAAGAACACACAATGCACAATGGGTAATCTTTTCAACAAATGGTGCTAGGAAAAATTAGGTATACACATACATAAGAATCAGGCCCTTATCTTGCACCATATATTATAGTCAACTCAAAGTATATTAAATAATTAAATACAAGACCTGAAAATATAAAACTACTTGAAGAAAATAGAAGAGGCTTGGTTTGGGTAATTATTTTCTGCACCTGAAACCAAAAGCACAGACGAGAATAATAAAAACAGACATGGGATTGCATCAAAGTAAAAATTTCCTGCATTGCAAAATAAATAACAGAATAAAAAGGCAACCTATACAGTGGGGAGCAGTATTGGCAAACCTTAAAGGTTCTAAAAAGGGGTAAATATCCAAATTACATAAGGAACTAATGAGACTCAATAACAAAAATATAAATACTCTGACTAAAAATTGCCCAAAGGACTGAAAATACATTTTTTAAGGAAAACCTACAGATGATCAATAGATATGTAAACAGGTACTAAACATCATTAATCATCAAGGAAATACAAATAAAAATTACAAAGAGATCACCTCACATCTGATACATTGTTTATTATTAGAAGTGATAAGTTGTCTGTTATCAGTAAGAAGAAAGATAAATGTTAAAGAAAAAAGAATTGTTAATAGGAATGTAAATTGTTATAGCCATTATGGAAAATAGTCTAGTTTCTGAGGTTCTTCAGGAATTTAAAACTAGAACTATGATATTATCTCACAGTCCCACTTGTGGACATATATCTAAATAAATGAAACCAGTATCTTAAATTTCTGAACTCCCATGTTCATTTCAGCATTATTTACAATAGCAAAGATATGGAAACATCTTCAGTGCCCATCTTTGGATGAATGAATAAAGAAGATGTGGTATGTCTATATGAAGAAATATTATTCAGACTTAAAAAGGAGGGAAATCATTTCATTTTGCAGCCACATGGATGAATATGGAGGACAATATGCTGAATAAACCATTCAGAGAAAGACGAATACTGCATGATCTCATTTATATGTGGAATCTAAAAAATGTGAAACTCAATACGATAGAGAATAGAAAGGTTATTTGCCACAGGCTGGATGGAAGAGGGGGCATTTGGGGACAAGTTGCAATTATGCAAGGTAAGTTCTGGAGATGTAATGTATAACAATGTGACTGTAATTAACAATATTGTAATATACTTGAAATTTGTGAAAATGGTAGATTTAAAAAATAGTTAACTTTTAATTTTTATTTTCTTGAGTTTTTTATTTTAATTCATACATAGTAATGATACAGATTTGTGGGGTACAGAAGATAGATCTTGGGTATCTCACCATGTTAAAAAAAAAAAAGGTAACTGTGTGATGTAATAGGTATGTTAATTAGCTTGAGTTTGGTGAATATTTCAAAAGGTATAGATATATCAAATCATGCCTGAAGTATATATAACTTTTAATTGTTAATTATACTTAGTAAAGTTTGCAGAGAGGATGAAAATGACTAAATCAGATTTATATTTTGGACAGTTCATTCTTAACTATAATTACTAAAATTTATATTTCTCCATGATCTTTCCTGGGTTTTTCTGGTCACATTATGTATTTTTTTTTAGCTATTTCATCTCAGAACTTCTATTTTGAGTTTATTATCCATCCCAGACCTCTTGCCTAGACTCAGAACCATCTACCTCATTGCCAATTAGATATCTCTTCTCAGGTGATTTCATAGGAATCTCAATGTCTAAAATAGCATTTACCCTTAATTTTCCTTCCCAAATTTATATTTATTCTGTTACTCTACATCTGATATAATGGCTGCTAGAGCTGTTTTCTTTTTAATTTTTCCAAAGCCAGAAGCCTGGAAATCATCTTTGCCTTTTCTCTTTCCTGTATTTCCCATACCTGGTTTGTCAGCAAGAAACACACACACACACTACATTATATATGTACTAATATGTATATGTATATATATATATATACATATATATATATTATATAGCTTTGTCTATCATATCCTCTCTCATCTACACTATAGCAGCACCCCTCTTATTTACCTTCTTATTATCTTCAATCTTGGTTTCCTTCCTAGAACTAGACCATAACTAGCATGACCTCTTTAAAAGTCAAACTAGATCATGCCATTCTTCTGCTTAAAATTTCTCAGTCTTCTCTCTGACCTTCCTTTCAAGTATAAACTCCTTAAAATGAAACACAAGCTGCTATAGGATCTGGTTTTTGTCTACATTTTTAGTTTTAATTTTTCATGCTCCAAATGCTGTCTACTCAGATTGAGTTACTTTCAGTTTTCTAATAGTTTTCATGTTGAAAACTATTAGAAAATATTAGGAAGAAATATTTCAGATCCTTTCCTGAGGGAACAAAACCTCTTTGTTCTATATATCTTTCACTTTTTATTCTTTACATGTTAAAAACTATAGTATTTTTAAAGGTAGACAGAATAAATTGCTAGCAAGTATTGATTATCATTAACTGCATAATTGTATTTAATATGATTTATTGGTCATTCATTTTATGTATGCCATAGATCTTAAAAGTGAATCCATCAAGTATGAATCTGCTTTACTTATACTGAAATAAAATGCTACTTCATAGATTTCAGAAAAAAAGTCACATGTTGAGATTAAGTCCTGATATAACTCCTTAGGTACATATGCATTTGGTGGTCTGATTATAGAACTGAAAATGTAGAAATTGAAATAGGGTCTCTTCGTGCATAATCATTCAAACATGTGAGCTCATTTTTATTTTAGAGATCACATAATAGATCTTCTTTTCTGTCTTTTTTAACACAAATTCCATCATTTTTCTTCTAAAATGGTCAATTATAGAATAATGATATGTTTTATGTAGAGTCTGGAAAAAATAATATTTATTTGAAAGCAAAGTTGTTTTTTTTTGTTTTGTTTTGTTTTTAAATGAAACTAGTTTTTGAGCCTGGTAGAGAAAAGAAGAGATTATCAGGAGTGTGTGTTTGTGTTTTAGTTTTAAAGATACATAGGATATTTAGTCCCTGACTATTATGAATTAAAATCAAGAATTATAGGCCAACTAGAAATTGCTTTTCAAATTGATTATACCTTTACTAATATCACATACTGATTTTACAGTAAAAGTCTAAGCTACAACACTTAAGATGAGAACACAATTCATTTTACTTCACTGTTAAAAATAGCATTATCAAGCATTTTGTAATGTTTCTCTCTTCATATATTGGACTGTCATGAAGAAATAAACCTTCACTTGCTTCCATGACGGTAGATAATAAATTGACTGATATAATTCAGTTGGAAAGTTGAAATGCATTGAAAATAATGGGGCATAACATTGTAGGGTTAACATTTATTCATAGATGATGCAATTAAATAAAACAGGCATTAACTTCAAGGTCAGTCAGTAAAGTAATAAAATTGAATATTTTAATTGAATTGTAATTGCTTGCCATTGATACATGCAAGTAAAGTAAAATAGATGTCAGCTCTGCAAATTATGGTTCTTCCTCCTAATTAATTTCTTAATTCTGCATGGAGTTATCCAGTGCCTAGGTCTTGTTGTGGGTTTATTCATCCACCCAGCTTCTATCAAAGAATGTCTGTAAGACATGATTAAATGGTTAGATGTCAAGACTTATAGTTAATCTTTTTCTGTACTTTGGAAAAATCTTGTTAGTAACTTAAAGAACTTATTTATATATTTGAATTAAAATGTTGTCTAAATATAACAGCAACCTGGATCCTATAGACTGTCATTTTCTTTATTTATACTGATGTTTTCTGATATTTATATTTATATCAGCATTAGTAAGTATAACCATCTTAGTAATTATAAAGATTTCTATAGAAAAGATAGATGAATTGAGACTAATATTCCATAGTTGACCAGTTGAGGAAGTGAATTAAACTGACTTATTAAGGTTTTGATGAATTTCAATTTGTGTCCATTCACACTAGACAATAAACTAAACATCAACCTAAAAGAGAAACATCCCCTTTAGGATTAGAATAAATTGAAACTTTTAATTACATTGAAAAAGCCCATGGGGCTTTTACATAGGCTTTTCATAGTCCTTCAAAGGGTTTTAATGTAATACAGGTTTGTATAAAATGAAATAGGAATGATGACATTACAAAGATTAGTAGAAAGATTTTTCAAATTACTCTGAAATTATATGGGTCTTAATGGTAGAGTTTATTTAAAGAGAAGATTGTACCTTTTGGACTGGTTGCATTTACTAGTTAAATAGTACTTCCTTAAAATTGAAATAGAAGGAAATGTGTAAGATAAATTTTAAAACTACTAAGGTATTCTTATATATTAATACATTTAAATTTATTCTATATAATAGACTTATTTGAGAATAAATGTGTTGGTATGTTAGTACCATTCTTTAGTTGTACTTAGGAATATTGATAAACTAAACAAATTGAATTGAGAAAGGATTTATTTTTTCTAAGTTTTGTGCCAAATTTTAACTCAAACATTGACTTGATTATTTAAAATGTTTCTCTTTGAACCATTTAAAAACATTCAAAATGAGACTAATGATGAATATATATTATTGATACTAATCTGACACTGACCCTCAGTTTTCAATTACAAATGATCTTAAATGTTAGCATGCTCTGTGCATACCATCCAGTTAGAAAATTCCAAAACCAAATATGTGAAATAAGAAACTAAAATCTTGAAGCTGCATAATTATAGATAAGGTAACCATTTTTCTCATTAAAGATACATTTTTTTCTTGTTTGTAAATTGTTTAATAATTATTGTATTTCATTTTGAGAAGCAAAATAGTATAAAGACCATATATACATACAGTGGTAAAATGTTTCTAAACAAGAAGCTTATAGAAAAAAATATACAACTGTTGTAAAATTAAGTATTTAGTCTTTTATTATATTTATAAAAATAATTAAGTATTTAAATTTATGTTATTAATATTTATGGAGTGTTCTAAGCATTAAGAATTTGAGAAAAACTCTGCATTTGAATATACTCTGGGGAAGTTTGAATAATATCCTGTGATATCCCTCACTAATATTATAGTTTTGGTTTATTTAGAAGAGATCTGAGATCAAGCTGGTTTTAGGCCATTGCTTTCTAGGATAGTAGCTTCAATTACTAGAAGTCTCTGGATCTCATCCAGGAAAGTATTTTCTAAAAACAGTCTGAAATGCATGTCATATGGGTAGTGATCATGGGGTCCCCAATGACATGTTACTTTCAAATAAACAGAAATCATAGCAAAAGCAATCTGCACTCAGATGGAATTATCAGCAGGGCATCAGAAGAAAAAGATCTCAGTAGTGATTTTAATCAAATGCAGTGGGACATAATAGCTTGTTAGAAGTATATATTATATACAGCGTTGATTTAAAATTGAAAGATTCATTTAGAAGAGTACCTAGGCCACTATATTGAATCTAGACAAGCACAGTTTAATTATAAAACTTGGGCATTTTGGGGGGAAAGAATTATAATCTGTTTAAATAGTATGTTATCATGAGATAAGAATTCCTAAGTCATTGCTCATTTCAAACAAAGCCTATCTAGATAAGCTGAGGAAAACCTTGATAAATTACAGTTTTTCAGAATTGTTTATTTGTTCCTGCTAGTCCCTTGGCTTTATATTTCTAGAGCAATAATCTTTTGTTTTTGTGGAAGATTGTTTCTGCTGATCTGCCCTCTATGAAACGTCTGAAGCATCAGATCTATGGATCATAGCAACACAGATCTATGGATCATAGCAACACACAGACCTCATTATCAAACCTATAAAAACCCATACATGGACTTGTGTCATTATTAACTGTAAGCGAAAGAAATATCACTCTTTTATGTGAGGAATTTTTCAGTTTTACTATTATAGTGAAATGAACTACAACGTGTTTCAGGAAAATATTTAAATATCTTTCATAATGCTTTAAATTTTTATTTATTTCAGTAATTTTAGCCTCACAGAATTTTCAGTGCTTAGCCCAGTAATAATTAAATTTAAAATATTTCTGTGAATACAGAAAAATCTTTAAATACTCAGATTAATTTTAAGAAGGTATATCTATGTGATAATCACAAATTTGTGTAGGAAAATTGTGCCCATGTGCTTTATGTCTAGATAT